AGGTACATTACATGACCGCAGTATTATACAGTCATATGATGTATTCGGTATGAAATAGCCGAAAGATGACGTTCGGAGACTTTTGGCGGGGGTCTGTATAAATATGATGAGGAAATACGAAGCAAAAATTCTCCTATCAATTTTATTTTCTTTTTTATATCACTTATTTCTTCCTCTAACACTCCTTCTTTTCTTCTTAAAAATTCTTCGCGATTAAAGTTATTTTTAGTTGTTTTATTTTCTGTTTTATTTTCTGTTGAAATTGCTGCGATCTTGATTAGGTTATGGAGGGTAACCTTTATTATAATTATATTTTGTTTTGTGTATAATTTTTAGGTATTTTATTGGCGTTGAAGTTGGTATAATATTTAGTCGTGTTTTTTTGAAATGGGCCGAATTAAAGATTAATTTTAAAAATTTAAAATAAATCATTACTGGTCTTATTAATAATAAAGCAATAAATACAAAAAAACGAAATTTTGCCCGTGGTTCATGAAAAATTTTCTATGCTAACGCCCTGTGTATCTCTATTCTTTCTTGATCTTCTCTTCCACGCGACGCTTCTTGGACGCGGGTTCATCATTAGCTGATACTCTATCCTTTAACAAGCCTGCTATACCCCTAAAATCCTCTTCACGTCCTTGCGCAATTCATTTTGATCATTGAGAGCATCTTCCGTTAGTGAGATTCGATATTCAGTTTTGCTTGTACAGAAAATGCCTTCAGTGCTGTGAAGGATGAAATACCAGTCAGTTGCTATTTACACGAAGATTAAGAAAGTTTAAAGTTAGTATTGCATAAACTTAAAAATAAAAAACATCCCGAAACGGTCTTCCACCTGTCGTGACAATACCATATACATATTCATACTCATAGTCGAATGCCTCGTCCGCCTTCCGCTTTTCTTGAGCATGTTTAAAATTACTTACATCGCATGAATTTTTACATTGCATAAGATTTTGAGCCACTTCTTTGCCGGATGGGTTTGCTTCCCTTCAATTATGCAAATTATTTCTTCGAATAAACCATCTATGATTTTTTTTTGATTGCATAATCTACACGATCGGAACTTTCAGCACCAGTTACCGTCATCTGAGGTAAGATCAGCAAATCTTTAAGAAGACTGAAGGATTGTTGAAATATATTCACAGCGCATAGCCTCGTTGCTGTTAACAACTGGACCATTATTTTTATCCCGCGAAAAATGCAGAGTTAAAACTCGGAGAATTTCCTCAATTGGGTGGATTCTATAATAGAAATAGATGATTTCAGTATCTCTGAAACAATAAATCATCCAAGCTTTACACGAAATCTCACCTGGCTTAAATTGTGGAACACATCGCTATTGATGTCATATTTCGCTAATACCTCACTCAAACTCTTATACGAGCGCTTCGTATTGTCTTTGAGGGCCTGGACCTTTTTTGCAAGTCTCATAGCTGGTCCCATTTCCAGTCCAGTTTGCATAAAATCTTCCTTACCCATGTCAAGAAAGTCCTGATTGACAATTTCTCGGTTACGAAGAACATCGAAGTGTGAGCCATAAATATAATATTTTTATTTTTTAAATTTAGTGAATATAAATTAGACTACTTTGAAACGTACTTACCTTCATGTATTTATATACTATATTTCAAATCACAATAAGATCCCATACTGTATATTTGTAATGTAACAATTCCTTTTTTTAAAAAAAATAAATTATCTTGAATTTGTTTGTTTAAGCTAATCGGGATATATTTTTGAACTTGAAGTATAGATTCCAAAGAGCTTCCGATTGGATATTCGATCTCTAATTTCTTCTGACTGAAAGTGATTTCACGAGAATTAGCTTCGGAACAATTTTGCTTTAAAATCGTTTGACCCAAGGACAGATTTCTTTAAACCTTCCTAAGATCTTTGAATTTGTCAAATATCGAGTCTGATACATCGTGATTCATCAATAGCAAGCAGTATCTTCGAAAGAAAAAAGCAAACGTGACGTGTTTGAAAATTTATTTAGTCGAAATAATTTTTTTTTTAGGGATTTATATTTTCTTAACATAAAATAGCCATGATTGCATAACAAATGACAATTGCACCAGAAGAATCCTTTTTTTGGATATTAAACAAGCATCTTATATTGGTTTTCGTTAAAAATTGTAAAATCATATTTACGTCTCTCACGTGAAATTAGTGAAATTTGAACTGCTGAAGTTTAATCAAGAAATTCACATCCTTAATATATTAAATCACCCTTAAATATAATAATCATCCTTAATATATTAACCACCCTTGATATATTAATCATCCTTAATATATTAATCACCCTTGATTTTCAATCTTTCAACTATAAATTACTCCCTCTGCCCACTTTATATCAAACTTCACAAAAACTTCTCTCTCTTTGAGCTTCACCATAGTTGTTATTTGAACTTCATTTTATTTGTCATCAACAAAATGCCTCCTCTCCCTGCTGGTCTCATTCTTGATGCCGAAGAACAAATGGCATTTGAACAAATGGGCGGACGAAATACAATAACTTTCAATCGTCTTGGGGATAATCAAAGTAGACTTGCTTATATCCAAGCACTCGTCAATACAAAAAAATACTGAAATGGAAAGATCGGTATGTTTAGTTAAAAAAAGATAAATTTTTATTATAAATTTTCACTAAATCCTTATTAGCGAATTCGTCGCTTCATTTCACGACTTTAGGAGATTGAATTTCAGACTATTTCTTTCGTAGCCTATCTTGCTGTCCTTATTTGTTTAACTGTTCTTAAAGTAACCATATATAAATATGATGAAGAAATATTAAAGATATTTTTGGTTGTTTTAAATTTTATTTTGTTTTCTGTCGAAATTACTGCGATCCTGATTAGGTTATGGAGGGGTAACCTTTATTATAATTATATTTTTGTTATTGTTTTGTGTATAATTTTAGGTATTTTATTAGCCATTTTATTACCAAATTTTTATAAAGGTTCTCTCAGCAACCATAACAATATTTTACGTTGAAGTTGGTATATTATTTAGTCGTATTTTTTTGAAATGGGCCGAATTAAAGATTAACTCTAAAAATTTAAAATAAATCATTACTAGTCTTATTAGTAATAAAGCAATAAATACAAAGAACGAAATTTTGCCCGTAGTACATGAAAATTTTTCTATGCTAACGCCCTTTATATCTCTATTTTTTCTTGATCTTCTCTTCCACGCAACGCTTCTTGTTTGAAAAAATTGAATTAAAAATGAATTATGAATGTAAGGAAAGCGACTCTTTATAAACTGGAAATATCAAGATAAGGATCAGAAAAATAAAATCTTGCCTTATAATGAACAAGAAGATGAACATTAACGGTTGAATGAATGGTTGAATCAGGAATGATGGATTCGAAAAAGAACCAAATGGTTGTCGTTGTTAAAGAATCGAAACGAAAATGAAAGGTCGATGGGTCGAAATGAAATTGTACGATATGATGAATTGATAAGTCGGTCAATCGGTCTAAATAGAAGAAATGAACGGTTGAATGAACGGTTGAATGAACAATCGGTAGAATGGACAGGTCGATTGATTGTTCTAAATAGAAGGTTAAATGAACGACGGTTTGGTGACTGGGCAGATCGGTCGAATAAGAAACGATTTGTTGAATGAAAAATTTAATGAAAGGTTATTAGAATGGACAGATCGATCCGTGGGTCAAAATACAAATGAGTGGTTAAATGAACCGACACTTCGAGATGAAAATGACAAGAAGCTTAATCCTAAAGAAGAATTAGAGTCCTTTTTTACAAATTGGACAAATCGGTGTACCAAAAAAATCATTTTCTTTGATTTTTATCAGTCAGAACTGTTCAATCACAACAAAGTTGGAGGTTAAAAGGGTAGTGTTGAAGTAATTGAAAAATATAAAGAGTTGGGTGTCGTTAAAAAGTTTGAAATTATTGACTTTTATGATTTTGAGCCATAAATATAATAATTTTTTTTTATTAGAATACTTTGAACGTTTTATCTTTATGTATTTATGTACTATATTTCAAATAACAATAAACTGCATATTTGTAATGTAACAATTCCTTTTTTTTTTTAAAAAAAAAAAAAAAAAAAAAAAAAAAAAAAAACTTGTTTGTTTAAGCTAATCGGGATATATTGTTAACTTGAAGTGTAGATTCCAAAGAGCTTCCGATTGGATATTCGATCTCTAATCTGAAAGTGATTTCACGAGAAATAGCTTCGGAACAATTTGCTTTAAAATCGTTTGATCCAAGGGCAGATTTTTTAAACCTTCCTAAGATCTTTGAATTTGTCAAATATCGAGTCTGATACATCGTGATTCATCAACAGTAGTATCTTCGAAAGAAAAAAGCAACGTGACGTATATGAAAATTTATTTAGTCGAAATAAATTTAGGGATTTTATATTTTCTTAACATGAAATAGCCATTATGCACAACTAAAGACAATTGCATCAGAAGAATCCTTTTTTTGGATATTAAACAAGCATCTTATATTGATTTTAGTTAAAAATTGTATAATCATATTTACGTCTCTCATTTGAAATTTGAACTTTTGTGAATGAATTGAATCCTTGATGCACATTTCATCTATATTTTCATGCGTTCCCAGAAAAAAATATTTTGTTATAACAAACACTATTAATAAATACCCTCACCCTTGATATATTCATCACCCTTGATTTTCAATCTTTCAACTATAAATTTCTCCCTCTGCTCACTTTATATCAAACTTCACAAAACTTCTCTTTCTTTGAGCTTCACCATAATATTACTTGAACTTCATTTTATCATTTCTTTTGTCATCAATAAAATGCCTCCTAAACCTAGACCTAATCTCCCTGTTGATCTCATTCTTGATGCCGAACAACGAATGGCAGTTGAAGAAATGGGCGGACGAGAAGCAACTTTCAATCTTCTTGGGGATAATCAAAGTAGTCTTGCTTATATTCAAGCACTCGTCGATAAGAAAAAGACTGAAATGGAAAAATCGGTATGTTTAGTTAAAAAAGAAATTTTTATTATAAATTTTCACTAAATCCTTTTTAGACATTTCGTCGCTTCATTTCACGACTTTTAGGAAATCGAATTTCAGGCTATTAATTTTGTAGCCTATCTTGCTGTTCTTATTTGTTTAACTTTTCTTAAGGCAACAATATATAAATATGATGAGGAAAAATTAAAGTTATTTTTTAGATGTTTTAAGCAAGCCTGATATAACCCCTAAAATCTTCTTCACGTTCTTGCGCAATTCAGTTTGATCATTGAGAGCAACCATCCGAAAAACCTTGAAGCGCTATCTACCGGCCAAAAATAGATTTAGTCAAACAAAAGGTTTTATATATATATATTTTAGAATTTTATTGGTTTATATAAAATCAAAACAGAGAAAAAAAAAAATTGTCTAAGTAAAGAGTACATATTTGTAAAAATCTATCTATTATGGAAAAAAAAAAAATTTATTTTATTTTATGTGGGTGCTGATGGTGCATAAGCAGTGAAAGCAAAGATACCACCAGCAATTAATGCGGAGACTGGAACCGTTAACCCCCTAAAAAAAATGAAAAAAAAAAATTTTAATTCATTTCATTTATTCATAAATTTAAAACTGATATGAAGTTTTAACTTACCAACTGAAGAAACAAGAAGCCAATAATTTCCAATTGAGAGCTTTCGCATTTCCATTGCATAAACCTATGGCCGCAGTCGCAATAGTAACGCAATGTGTTGTTGAAATGGGGAGACCAATTTTTGAGGCGGTTAATACAGTCAATGAAGTGCCCAACTCTATAGAGAAACCACGAGATGGAGAATTATAAATGATTTGGTTCCCAAGAGATCTCATCACATGGTATCCATAAAGGACAAGACCCACATCAATAGCGATACCTCCTAAAGCCAATATCCAAATAGGCACAGAGGTAGTTCCTGGTGGTTCAACAACACCAGAATCATAGATTAGATAAATTGTAATTAAGGGTCCGATCGCGTTTGAAACATCATTTGAACCATGAGAAAATGAGGCGAGTGAAGCGGTGAGAATTTGAAGGAAAGAATATAATTGTTCCGTATTTGGATCGTATTTTACTGCAGCATCATGCAATTCTATATTATCATGTGCTTTATAATCTGCTACTTCTTTGCTGATACCTCGAGCAACATAGTTTCCTATAGCTGTAAAAGCTGCCTGAAAGATGTTTTTTGGGGAATTATTGACGTTTTCTTCAATTACAATTCCTTCTTGTTTTCCATTTTGATCATCGTTGGTGCCCCTTTCAGTATCATTATCATAACGAGGTCCAATGAATGGAACAACGAAAATATGGTACCACTTGAGGCCAGTTTCTTTACCAATGATCTTTCTTTTTAAATATTTTGCATAAAAGAAATGACTTAAGACTGACACGATAATCGCGACGCTCCCAACAATAATTGCAACGACATAAGGCTGAAGGTTTTCTAAATTTAAACTTGGATCACCTTTAAAGAGGAGGTAAAAGATGTTGATGGCTATCGTGAAGGTAATGTAAATTGGGACGGCGATCAAAGCGCGTCGGAAAGAACTGTCTTGATGTACAAGTATCAAATATTTTGCTGTCAAGAAGAAAGTTGATACTACAACTCCTGCTATTATGGGTGAAATAAACCAAAAGACTATGATCTTTGTGATACCGTTAAAACTCCAGTCAATGGCTAGTGAAGCACAAAAATTAATTAGATTTATTTTGAGACGATTAATATCGAAAGTTTTAGTTTATTTTTAATTACCTTTCCAACCAAAAGCAGAGATACCAACACCAGCCATAGCACCAACAATTGAATGAGTTGTAGAAACTGGCCATCCTCGGATTGAAGCGAAAATAACCCATAAAGCTGATCCAATTAAGGCGCAAACCATTGCCAACTATGTTAAAAGAATAAAAATAAATCAATAATTTTCAAATATAAAAAGATAATGTAATGAAAAGCATACCATAAGCAAATCTGGATTATTTTGAAATAATGAAATTTTTATAATTCCTCCACGAATGGTTTCGGATGTGTTTGCACCTAACAAAAAAGCTCCAAAGAATTCGGTGAAGATCGCGATAATGCAAGCTTGTTTCAGCGTAAGAGTTTTAGATCCAACTGAGCTTGAGAAACTGTTTGCAACATCATTAGCACCGATGCCAAATCCAGCAGCGAACGCAACAATTCCGCCAATTATCAAGAGCCAAACATAGCTATGTGGTTCCATTGAAAATTTTGTTCAAAAAAAAAGGTTTATTTTTCGCGAAAAATTTAGATGATTGATTTATATCTATCTATCTGTTATGGTGCCAAAAAAAAAAAATTTTTTTTTAAAAAGTAATCATCTATAAAAAAAAAATCTGCAGAATTTTGTGAACAATATGAAAAAATTTTTTTTTTTGTCCTTTTTTGTTTTTGTTTTTGTTCTCGTGGAAAATTTATTTGCAAATTTTTATTTAAAGTTATTGTGAAGCTTTGGACATTTTAGTTCACAAATCACCATTAAAATATAAAAATTTTAAAGTTTGGATTTAGGCGCAGTGATACCAGCTGTTCAACTTCCAAATGACATCGAAAAAGTAGAACGTCCTTAAAATAATTTTTTTTTTTGCTGCATCCTTATAAAGTAATTTTGATCAGCATGTGAATTTAAAAAATTTTTTTTAGTTAACTAATTATATTCATTTTCTAACATAAAGAAATAATATTATTATTTGAAGAAAAATAATTAAATCGATTCATATATTATCAAAAAAAAAAAAAAAATTTAATCGATATTAGAAATATATTTTTTTTATTATTAAAATATAAAGTGTATCTAAGTTTTTTTTATTAATATTTTTAACTAGGAAACGGGAACCGTTGTTAAGTCCGGAACGATCTTAACTAAAAAAATTCATACAGTCGACCCTCTCTACAATCACACCTTATATAATCACACCCTCTTTATAAGCACACTATATTTTAGTTCCGATTTTTTAAAATATAAATCCCCTCTTTATAATCACATATTAATTATAATCACTATCACACCAATTATTAAACCGATATTATTAGTTAATATAATAAAATTTCCCTTTATATAGTCACATTATCACGTGATAAGATGTAGATAATACAACTAAAAATATTATACGCGTTTTTATTTTTGATTAATAGAGAAAATGATATGCGCGTTTTATCTTCTTTTGGATTAATTTGGGTTGATAATCTTATAATCAATCTTTTTTTTAAAAAATCCTTTAATTTTTTTCTTTTCAACTTTTTGCTTTGAAATTAAATATTTTTAACAAAAATACATTTTACACTCTTTACACTCTTTTTTATAATATTTCTAATTAATTTCAAATAAATCAAAAAGAACTTGTATCTCTATCAGTATTAATGTAAAAAAAGAAATATGTGAATATATGTCAGCTAATCCTCATATAAAACAAGATGTTGTTGCATCATATTTTAATGAAAAATATAGTAGTAAAAATATAAATAGAACAACTATTACAAAAATATGGTAAGAGCGTGAAAATAGCTAGTTGTTGAGTCAAGTTCACAAAATTTACATAAATTTCATTATTATACTATCCAATTTTCTGAACTTGATAAAATTTTACAAATTTGGATATTTTAAGTAGTTGCAGCTGGACTTTCTCTAACAGATTTAATTTTACAATAAAAAGGAATAGAACTTGCATAAATGTTAAATATTAGAAAAAATCAATTAAAATTTACTAATAGATAGGTGTAGAGATGTAAACAAAGAAATGAACTTTAAAGATATAATTTTTCTGCTAAATCAAATAGTGTTTTACTTACAACACTTCCAAAGAAAGATTATGTTTACATATATTTTTGTTATTATATAATAAAGAAGATATTTATAATGCTGATGAAACTGATTTTTTTTTTAAATAGAACTAAACCAAATACTTAGTACAGAAACTATAGTAAGTCGTAAGAAGATGAGATTTATTTATAATAAACTTAAAAAATTTTATTGGTTATAAATTTTTTAAATAAATTTATTTAATTAATTTTATAGGATAAAACCCAAATGTCTATACTTTTTTATGCAAATATAATAGGTTCTCATAAGCTTCGTCCTCTTGTAATTAGAAAATCTCTTAATTCTTGATATTTTAAAAATCTTAACATATCAAACACTTCCTGTTACTTATCAAGCTAATTCTAAAGTATGAATAAGATCTGATATATTTGTTGAATAGATAAAAGATTTAGATTATTATTTTTGAATAATGGAAAGAAAAATTTTACTTCTTGTTAACAATGTTAGATCTCATTTTAATCCAAAAATTTTTGAAGAGGATAATACTATCAAAAATGAATCTAATGATAAGAAAGGATCTAGTTATGAAGATCAAAGAAAAAAAATAAAAAAAACAAAAAAAAAAAGTAAAAAAATATCTAATATTACTCTTATAAATATTAAACTTGTTTACCTTTTACAAAATATTATCACGCATTTGTAACCTATAGATGCTAATATTATCTATAGCTTTAAAGTAAAGTATAAATAAGAGTTTTATAAAGATTTAATTCGTAAATTTAATTCTAGGATAAATCATATAAAGTAAGTTATAAAAATCTATAATTATTTTTTTTATTTTAAATAAATATAAATTAATTCTATTTATTTATTTATTTATTTAGTAATAAGTTAAATATTAAAAAAGCAATAGATTATATTGCTGAGGTTTAGAATAATAATGTTACTTTAACAACTATTTAAAATTGTTAGATGAAAATGGGTATACTTTCATCTAATAATGAATTTGTTAATGATGATATAAAAGAGCAAGATAATGAGAAAATTGCTAGTCTTTGTAATGCTTTATCAAATGCAGAAGGAATACAAGAATATTTTCAAATAATTGATCAAAATATATTAATTGAAGAATTTCTTACTGATAAACAAATAATTAATATGGTATTAACTAAAGAAAAAGAAGAAAATGATATTAAAGAAGAGAAAAAAGTTCCTTCTATTTTAGTTAACAAAACTATTGATAGATTAAAAATATTTATAAATTATTTTGAATAACAAAATAATTCTATGTATAATATTGAAGATTTAAAAATATTTTGAAAGTATTTGCAAATAGCTAAAGTAGAAGATTTTAATTCTAAAAAATAAAGTACTATTAATATATACTATGAAAGATAAATTTATAATAATAATTTTAACAATTAGTAGTTATAATAGTTAGTAAAAAAATTATAGTTGATAATCTAATTTTATTAAAATAAAGCTCTCTCTCTCTCTCTCTCTCTTTCTCTGGATTTGTATTGCAAATTTATATGAGTTTTCATGTTCACGTTTATGTAAGGCAAAAAAATATAAATTAAAGCTAAGATTATAGGGGTAAGTGGTTGAAAGAAAATATAAGTGTTTTTAAAAAAAATATTTTCATAATATTATTTTTATATTAGTTAATTAAATTTAAATAGATTTAATTTATTAAAGTTTTTTCAAAAAAACTTTTTTTTTAATAAAATTTTACATAAGGTATAAATTAAAATAAAATAATAATAAATTAAATAAATTTTTATTTGATCATTTAATTAATATAATAAATCATATGAAATTTAGCATCAAAGATCAGTAAACTTTATTAAATAAAAAATTAATTTTTCACATAAAACTAATAGTCTTACTCAATCTAATCAGTCTGGTCTAAGTTGATTCTAGTCTTGTATTTTAAAAAAAAAAAAAGAATATAAAAATTTTAGAAATTTTTAAACAAATGAAAGAATAAAACAAAATAAAAAAATAAAGCTTACCATAACCATCTAGAATCCAAATCTAATAAGCTAAAAAAAACATCTAAAAAAGAAAGTAAACAAAAGATTAAAGTAAAGTAAGAAAATGAACTTATCATTTTGGATATAGCCGAAGAGTTCAAAGATCTAAAAAAATTGGTTAATTAATAACTAAGCGAAAGAAGAATGAAGTAAAGAAGAAAAGAAATAAAACTTACTGCTTTAGATCTAACTAAAGTATCAAAAAATCTAAAAAAAAAATTGGTTGTTAACAACTAAGTGTCAAAAATAGATGTAATAAAATAAATATATTAATATTGGTATTTAATTACATAATCGTATATAAATACATTTCTATACAATTACACTATAAGGTGATCCCAAAGGGTATAATTATAGAGAGGATCAATTGTACTTAATATTTGTCTTATCTGTAATTATAAAAGCTAATTAGTATCAACTCAAATTTTGAGCAAGAAAAACAGTTATCTTTAGTGCAAACAGCATAATTCTTGTTTCAAATTAATCACTTTTTTATCATATAATTTTTTATATATATGAATTTTTAATGTAAAATAATTTTTTTAAATACTTTTATTTATATATAAAAATTTAAAATTGATTTATTCAGAAAAATTTTAACAAAAAAAAATTTTTTCTTATATTTAAGCAATTTTTCTTTTATTAATAATATGAAATTATAACTTTAACAAAATTAAATTAATCAAAATAAATTAAGATTTAATAATTTTATTTCTTATTATAGCTAAAATTTGAATTAAAAAACTTAAATAAAATCAATTATTTATTTTTATAATAATTATATTTATATAAATATAAAATTTTTTATAATATATAATATTAATTATTATATTTATTAATAAAAAAAGTTTGATTAAAAAACTTCTTTATTGATAATTTATTTATAACTTTTATTTAAATATAATCTTTATTTTATTTTTCTAAAACTATATAATATAAATATATAAAGTTAAAAAGTTAAAACATAATATAGTAAATTTTATTTTTTTAGAATTCATTAGAATATAAATAAAATATATTGCAGATTCTTTTCTTAAAAAATTTTTAAAGTTTAAGTAAATATTAATTATGCAAAATAGCTTCTTTAAAATATATAATAAATATTTAATATATTATAAATTTTACAACTTATCAAAATATAATAATAAAAGTAAAACTCTTATTTTTTAATATAATGATAAATAAAAATTTATAGTTATATTAAAATAAATTATATTTGTTAAATTATTTAACTTTATTATTTATTAATACTTTATTATCAATCTTTTTTTATTAAAAGTTAATTTATAGTCACTTTAATAAAAGTTAATCTAATCATCAAATCATCTTTTACAAATTATCTTTAAATTGTTATATGTCTTATTTGTAACACCCTTTTTTATTTTTCTTAATAATAAATTATTTTAT